TTAACGATATTTAATGAGATATTTAATGATAAGTAAATGATAATTAATCTGAGGTTCTGATCTGACCTGAATCTTTTTGCTCTGGCCTGATCTGCTTTGAATTAATTACTCAATTAATATAGTTGATGAGACCAATTACTCAATTTAAAAACATGTATCCTCGTAGCTCGACGCCTTAACGGGTAATGGTCTCGAGTTTGTAGTCTATAATAGGCAAATACAGGTTCATCTTGGCATTTGGCCATTTTCAGGGGACTTACTTTTCAACGTAAAATAGTACGTGTCTATGCTAATGCACGAGTTATATTTAACGAAAGGAATAAAAAAAAACAAGTATGAACTAATAGGTGAATAAAATAGCCAAAAAGAGAAACGAAATCTCAATTGCAATTTTTTAAATTACCTATAGGAATATTTAGTTATATTTTGAACTAAGAGTAACCCTTACATATAATAATTAATTTTTCGATATCTTAAAATTTCATTGGGTTCATCAGACTTGCATTATGTGAACATTTTTGTTGTGTTGAGCTAGATTGATAGTCGGTCTTGTAAAATAAGAAGATCTACCAACAATATTATCATACGCATAACCTTAGATCGCCCAACAACATTAGTGTAAGAGAGCATGAATGATGAGGGAGTAATAAAGTAACTGACTAGGCCTATTTTTTAAAAATGAACATATTAATATTTACTTCAACTGATAAATATATTTATACTAATTTTATTTGTAATTTATCAACTACAATAATGGTCTAGATGTTCCTTGTCCAAACCAAAATCTAGGCTAGATTTAATACCATATATCAACAACTACTAGATTATAACGGATACGCAATTATTGAATCCCTTGTAAAAATATTTTGTCATAATGTATTGCAAACCAGTTTAATTGACATCATTAGTGTCAATAGTTACATAATACATTAAATTCACCACCATCATAAAACCACCAAACTACTACCGTACATAGTAAGGAAATTTTGTCAACAACTACCAATTTAAGTCTCTGTTTTGAAAACAACTACCTTTAAATTTTTTTTTTAAAACAACTACCACAAACTTGTAAAAAGTTAGAGTAGCACTACCACTCTTAAATTTCCGACAAGAATCTCCGGTGAATGGGTCCCACTTTCTCCCTTTCCCTCCAATTTGACGATCCGAATTTACCTAATTACCCCTCTTTTATTCCAGACCCAACTACCTTCCCTTCTCTTCATTGAATTCCCGCCTAACTTCCCTGTACTCTCCCTCATCTCCATTTTCAACAACCTCTGACATTCACAGGGAATATTCTCACCTCACACTTTAATCTAGCTTAGGTCATTGAATTTGCCCCACTGTTCCTCACGTTTTCTCTCTCTGTCGCGGTGGTCCAAACTTTCAACCAAATTGGAGTTGTCATTTCTACTTTGGGAAAGCTTGAGCTTTAATGGAGAAGGGGAAGATGGTGACAGATGCTGAAGGACAAATTCCACCTGCGAATACATGGATAACAACTAATTATAAACCCTAATGTCGATAAATCCATTTAATTTACCCAAAACGCAAAACATTGCGAAACCCTAATTTCCCCAATTTCCCCAACTTTCCCAATTTCCCCAATTTCGAGTCATTAAGAACCCTAATTAGCATATAAAATTCTCAAATTACCTGATGTAATGTTCCTGAAAATATTCCTCTTGCTCAATTGTTGAAAAAAGGAAGAAATTTGGTGGAAAAAAATAGGAAATTTTGTTCAATTGGAAAACGAACATTAGCTGTTATATAAAGAAGAGAGAGAAACAAAAATTGGAGGGAAAGGGAGAAAGTGGGACCCACTCCACGGAGATTCTTGCCGGAAATTTAAGAGTGGTAGTGCTACTTTAACTTTTTACAAGTTTGTGGTAGTTATTTTAAAAAAAAAATTAAAAGGTAGTTGTTTTCAAAACAGAGACTTAATTTGGTAGTTGTTGACAAAATTTCCTACATAGTAATAATAATACTAGTAAATACTATTAGTAATCTAACTCCATGAGACCATGACATTAAACATTAAAATAACTAAAAGCAACCTACAACCCAAATACCAATTTCTTACACAAGGGCACAAGCACTTTCATTTACTAACATTGCCAACTTAGACTTTTCTTTTTGCTATGCTTCTTCTTCTCAAGCAGCTGCACCTTCTCCATCAGCACCTCGTTCAAGCTGATAGTTTCACCTCCTGCTCCTTTATAACAACTCGACCAGCCTTAACGGATTTTTTCAATTACCCAAATGTTTTGCCTCCATCGACCATTAACTAACACGCTACGCCTCTTCTTGGATTTACCCTTCCTCTTGTTAATGGATTTATGACTTGCAAAAAACCACCACTTCTCTATAGTTATCTCAAGAGGATCTGGTGAAAAATTCAAGTCTCCAATAGTAACATACTTTACGGGTGAAGCTACTTTCATTTCCAAAGACGCAACTGTGTTTTTAGAGGATGAATTACCGAGTAATTCGTGGGGGCAGGGTGAAAATGATTCTTTTGGGGTTGAATACGGAGTTTCATCTCTTCGTTCTTCCAAATGTGGAAATAAATCAAATTCCATAGCATCAACTTGCATCACTTCTAGTTGTTCTTGAAGCATTTGATCCAAATCCATAGAAGAAGGATTTGAACCCCCCCTTGGCCCAAATCGGCATCGTGGAAGGAGTTTGTCGATCTTATTTAAATCTGGCACGTATAAACGATCTTGTGGATTCTTGTGAAAGGATTTTCTTCGAGATTCATCGATGTCGTACATTAGTGAAAAAAGAGTAGTATTATGGGATGGGGTTGAAGGGCTTGAGTGTAAGGACATTGTTTGATAGTTGAAGGGAGTGATTTTTTTTTTTTTGTTATGGAATTTAATTTGGAAGTTGCTGGAATAGGGTTCACTGATCTATATAAAAAGGACGTTGAAGGGGGGTGAAGTGCACATTTGATTGTACTTTATACAAGAGATGGGTAGATGAGATAGAATGACCTAATAGGCCAGGGATATAGTTGGCTGACTTTTTGTTTAAGTCTTAAAAATAATTTTTAAAGACTACCTAAAGGGTATGAATTGAATAAGTCTAAGAGGGGTATGAATAAAGTGTACTTCAACTTCTAGTATATAAAATAATAATTCAATTCAAAAATGCAAAATGAACATATTCATGTAATACCTGTTGGATACAACCAGTACACATGATTCCAAATATAGGATATATTAAAAAACTACCAATACTAGAGCAGATTAAGGATTTGTTACACAATTACTACTACATGGATCATCTAAAGATCCTTGAAAACCATCATAAAATACTTGATACGAAATGGCCTTGACACTTGCCTCCATACATAGCTTCAAAATGATACGTAGTATTACAATGATCTTTAAGGACAATTGTTGACTTAGTCACCTACCACTAATAGTACTTGTCGACTACTAACAAAATGGCTCTATAAGCCTTTAACCAAGTTATATTAGTTATTGATAGTGCAGAGTCGACAATTTAACCAAAAGATTTCAACATCAGCAAAAAACCTCCAAACACCATACATTAGATGTTTGCAAAGGCAAATACTTTATCGCATTCGAGATCTTTGCCTCTAGAGTTGTCTGGAATGTGGTAAGATACTTACGTTCACGGAACAATATAAGTCGATGTGGAGGGTCGTCCATTTGGGTGGCCCAGTAGGTGTATACACCGTATAAGGGCTCGTGTAGGGGCCACAAAATTGTCAATTTTCTTGGATTATTGTAAATCTCCTCAATAGTGAAGTGCTTGAATCGTGTGTCCACATTTTTCTCCGGTACCTAATAAATACAAATATTATCTCTTTCAAGTTAAATACACTTACATTTATTAAATAGTTAGTAAACAAGTATTAGCTACTTCAATTTAACCAAAATAATGTGTTAAATTGTACTACTTCTCTATACAAGATTTAATAGTACACTACTAGAGTTAGATGGCTTGGTCATCATGTAAAACACGTGTAGCAACAAACGTTTAACATGAAAGAATTTAAAAATATAAATAATAAAAAAATGTATCTATTATAAAAATAACATGTAACCATCAAATTTATGAAACACACTCACACTCATCATCCTAATTAAAAATTCGGAGTAGAGCAACACTTAATCACAACATCTAAAAAAAAAAGTAGGTAGTTCGCTTCAATCACCAATTACATAAAGAATAATAATTAATTTTTCATGCAATAATTACTTCTTCATGCAATTAAATTCCACTCACAATTAAATTACATTTTACATGCAATTAAATTCCACTAACAAAAATTACTTCACAAGCTTGTTAAATTTTAGGTATTTTAAAGCTATTCACTTTAAACAATACTAGTAATTCCATTAACAGATTATGCGGATTAATACTTGACATATTATCAAAATAAAAATTTAAAAAAAAAAAAACATGCGTTGTATCAAAAATGTAAAGCTAAAAAAGATGGTACATAATTTTAACCCGAAAAATATAAAGCAATAAACAATACACACAATAGTTGACAAAAATAACCCTAAATATTGGAAGATAAATAAACAAATTTTAAATCAAAAATCGAACCTCTGGACTCACGAAAAAAACCTCACCATTTTGGATCATAGCTCCAAAAGCCGTCTGTAGTGGTTGAATAACTTGATTTCCCTTGCTCAGAACTATCTCATGTGATTCCAAGTCCACCTTTGCTGCGTAATCAGAGTAAATTTGTTGGAAAGTATGGTCACCCCTAATATTGTACATCACACCAAAATCATTCAAATTCACATGCGGGACTCTAACGGTGAAAATGGTTATCGCATAATAGGGCACGGGAGTGCGGATTGGTGATTGGGCCGCTTGGCTACGGGTAGGAAGGAAGTTGTAGAACACAGGTCGTGGGTTCACATTCACAGACAATACTGGTTGTGGGTTAACATTAATAGGCAAAGTAGGATGGCCAGCAAAGGTGGGAGGATTGGCTGCAACATTTGGTTCAACATTAGGTGCATCTTGACCCTCAGAGGAATTGTTTGGCCTTTGAACTGGGAAACAGGTTCATTGATCACCATGTTATCCCTAGTCACTGGAACAATTTGGTCTGATCCGGTTGGACTAGAAGCCGTACCAATATGGCGGTTTCCAACCATCTGACCGACAGCGATATTCCCTAGAAGTGACCAACTTCCCATCGATGGGCCACCATAGTAACGCCTAGGACGAATCATTCTGCGACGCCTTTTGTTGCACCAAAATCCACCAGTACACTAGTAGAAATTTTAATATAGGCACCCCCCCTTTAGCACTGGTTCTTGAAAACCGGTGCCAACAGAAATGGGCGGGATTGGAAAATTCAGAGTTGGCACCGATTCCAACCAAAACCGGTGCCTACTAATCTAATTAGCACCGGTTCAAACCGGTGCCAACCCAAAAAAAAAAAAAAACCCGGAAGAAAACAATAGAGTTGCCACTGGTTCGTCTTAAACCGCTGCCAACTATAGTAGTTAGCACCGGTTTGAACCGGTGCCATTAAAAAAAACCGGGCTTCTCGTATTTCTTCTTCTTCTTTTCTTTCCCCCTGATTTTTCAACACTTGTTTTTTCCCTTATTCTCACCTTCTCTTCCAGGCCACCACCTCCGAATTCCCACCTTCTCCATTGAAGCCGTTTTTGTGCTCTATATCTCCGTCCGTTGAAGCAGTTGCATGCACCTCCTTCTCTCTCCATATCTCTCCTCCATTGAACTCGTGCTCTCTATTCTCCATTGAAGCGCATTCTGAGTTTTCTCACCTCCATTGAAGCAGCTTCGAGGTAAGATTTGGGCCATTGTGGTCTTCTTAATCTACCGAATTTCTTCGCAACCTAGGGTTTGTCGTTGATTTGGTTTTCAATTTTGTAATTTTAGGGTTCTCGTTCCCCTTGCGCTGTCCCAAAGTTGAATTTAGGGCTTTTTCTTCTTTTCTTTTTGCATTTGTAAGAACTAATTAGATTTGGGTTTGTTTTTTTCAACCATTTAATGTCATTTCTGTTGTATATAACCTTATAAAGAGTGCATTTTTAAAGGGTTTTTGTTTTTTTTGGTGCAGATTATTGTTATATAAATGGAATTTGTAGTAAAAGTTCCTGTGAATGTGAGTACTTCTTCACAATGCAAATTTGGTGGATTTTCTGGGAATATAATCAGAAAATCTGGGATTGCGAATGGGCGTAGGTCGTTTATTTCAGCTGTAATGTCAAGTAGCCCTGCTCCTAATGTCCAAAATCTTTCTATCAAGTCCAAAGATGTTGGATTGCCTGTTATGGTATAAACTCTTTACTATTCTCTTGATTATCTGTTCTTCATTTCTTGATTCTAAAACTTGCTGTCATGTTGAATTGAATCTTGCTGGAGTGTGTTCGTGTCGTAAATCGTTATATTGTTTGAATGTTTGAGGATATTTAATTTGTTAGTGTAATGACATGATCAACCTTATTTTGGATCATAATACTTCAATTTGTATGTAATATGAGTGCTGCTTTGGAGCTTATATATATATATATATATATGGTAGTATAAGACTAAGAATCTCCTTATTGGTTTTTCGGTGATATCTAAGGCTCTCCTAGTTAGTGGCCTGAAAGTAAAACAAATAATACCAGTAATTTTAAATTTGTACAGCACTGGATACAAATAAGATGCATGCATTCCTTATTAAGACAGCATTGGCCTAAAATTCTTTGGTACAAGTCCAGCAATTTTGGGGCCATGATGCTCATGTCCAACTCAATGGGTCGAACCGTCGAATATAAAGTTTAAAGCATGATGCTCTGCCCAACTAAATGGGCCAAATCTAAAATTTTTGAAATGTGTTGAACCAAACTATACTACGTATAATTGTATTAAGAGTGCTAAAATGTGCCCATTTTAATGCATGAGGTATGTACTAGGAGACTAGGATTATATAGAATTAAGAGTATGAAGGATTGTAGTTGAAAATTGGAAAAATAGATTTTTTTTTTTTGATAGAAAAAAAGTGCATTTCTGGTTTATGCATGGATATGTTACAACTTACAAACCTAAGCAGTGATATTCTAACAGAGATTTTGAACATGATCAAACCTGTACAAAATTATCGCGATTTCAAATCACGACTAGTGCCCAATAATGTACACCAAATTAAACTTGTGTATTCCATAAGTATTGAAATTGTATGAAGGCGCACACCAGATCATCGTACAAGGATTATTAACAAACATATGGAACATTAAAAGTGGTTGCTCTTATATTTAAGCCTTCATATGCCCGTTCGAAAACATCTAGTCATCTACATACAAGAAAGTTCAGTGCCACAAGGTCATGTTCTACATGTAATGCATGCTTATAAGGTTATTTTTTCATATAAAATAAAGATGATCACTCGTCCTCTTTTATTTTTTTCCCTCCTTTATCAAATGAGGATTTTCATTATTAGTCACGATCTCTAGTTAGTTACATTTATCTCATTAGCAAAATGGTATATTGATCCATTTCTTCCTTCTCTATACGAGTGACTCATACAATGGCTTATTCACCTGATCACTGTTGTTTGATTTCCTAGTGTTACCCTTCTGTTAAATTTATTGGCTGAATGAAAATTTGTATCAAGTCAAAACTAAAATTTTATTGTGTTTGTCACTAGTATGTGTCTGTTGCTTCCCCGTGCTTGTTGCTTATAGTTGTGCACTCTAATAAATTATGAGAGTATGATGAATGAGAGTAAATGCTGATTGAAACTAGCTATATACACAGAATTATCAATGCTTTTCAAGATTCATAAGGAGAGGGGTGGGGGTGGGGGGTGGGAATAATTGTGCTCTGGTAATATATGAGAGTATGATGAATGAGGGTAATTGCTGAGGTTGAAACTGGCTATTTACACAGTGCTTTTGAGGTTGGAAATTGCTATTCGGGATTGGAAATTCTTGAAAACTGATTTATTTCGTGTTACTGTATTATGTGCTGCAGCACCTACGGCCCTGTCCAGGATGTTAGGATTCCAAGTCAAGAGAGAAGGATGTTTGGATTTGTTACCTTTGTTTACCCAGAAACAGTTCGGAAGATCTTGGCCAAGGGGAACCCGCATTTTGTTTGTGGTGCTCGTGTTCTTGTGAAACCATACAGGGAAAAGTCAAGGCTTGTTGACAGGTAGTGTGCTTTAGTGTTCTTCATTGGTAGTTTATTTTGATGTATGACAGTTTCTGCCCCTAATAATAGACCACATTATTCTTGTAAATCATCTAAACCTATTTAATCATTGATTAAAAATCCTTGAAAAGTGTTATCTATTATTATGTATGGACGTATTATCAATTGATTTAGCTCTTATATATATCTCTAATAACGCGATAATTAAGTGATCATTCATACTCATCTGTCAATGTCAATAACATAATTTTGCTCATAAGATACAATCATATAAGTAAAAGCTTTATACTTTCTCATCGAAAAATATCTCAGGACTCAGCTGGCATTGATTGACACAAAAATTGTAGCTTTTCCATTCTAAAATTGATATTTAAGGAGGAATTTTTTTATGTTTCCAATTGTTGTTCTGCACTAATTGAGTATGTATATGTACAACATACATAGAAGGGTTTTTAAGCTTCCCTTCATTTTTTTTTTTGGCAGTTTTTTGTATTGGTGTGAAGGAGTAAAAACACTTTTAGGAGAAGACTGGCATATATTCCTTGATCAAATTAGTCCGACTGATGCTGTTGGAGCCAGTAACAAATATCTCATCCACAGAGATAGCTGTAAACTATTTATGCAAAGAATATGAATTTTATCTTGAGGCTTGATTAAACTATTATGAATACTTAGTGAGCTTTTAAATATTCTAATTTGGATCAATACCTTCTAGCCCTTATAGTTTCATCTCTGGTATTTTTATCGGTAGGAGATGAGGCTTTTCATATGGAGATTTAGAGAGAGATAGTCTCATTTCAGTTACGGTTGTTAATTTGGTTGAAACTTCAATTTCCTAACTTTTTCTAAAGCCAATATCGAGTTTCATATATTGTCTACTTTGTTGACAACATATCTTTATGCTTTTCTTCATCCAGATAGTACCATTTGATCCCACTAAGAAAAAGAAGAAGAAAAAGGTTGTCATTCAAGATCCTGCTGATGAACCTTTGGATAAATTGGCTGAGAAAACAGAAAACTTGTCAGGTATGTGTCTGCCTTTCCTGTGACAGTTGTGTAAGATGCTGAACACTTGTCTTTTTCATTAGTACTGCTAGTGTTTTTAGGTGCTTAAAAAGCTTAAGATTCTCTATAGCTTAAAGGGTTTTTAGGTGTTTAAAGTGATATATTCACAATGCTTTGTGTTTTTAGTTTGGCCAGAGTTACTTGTTCTTGTATTGTGATGAAATTGCTTCGTGTTCACAGGATCAGGAAGGCAAGGAAGCTACTACTGTAGACGAGACTTTTCATAGAGCTCTGGAATACGGGCTTCCTACTCGATTTCCATTTTTCACAATATATAGTCCTATTATGTATATGTGTAATACTACAAGTTATTGAAGAAAATATATGTATTCTATGTATATTATGATTATATATAAGTATTTGGTACAATTTAAGTGAAAAAAATGCAAAAAAATTTTTTTTTTTTTGGGCATTATTGGCACCGGTTTTAAAAAGAACCGGTGCTAAAAGTTTATTTTATAATTTTTTTGGGGACTTTTGGCACCGGTTCTAAGCCATAACCGGTGCCTATTGTACTGAAATAAAATAAAAAAAAAACGCGCCATGGGTAATTGGCACCGGTTAGAGTGTATTTCGCACCGGTTAACCGGTGCCAAATTAAGTAGTTAGCACCGGTTAACCTGTGCCAAATACTTTAGTTGGCACCAGTTCAAAACCGGTGCCAAATTTTCATGGATTTGGCATCCCTCAAATCCCCAACGGTTCAAAACCGGTGCTAAAGGGGGGGTTTGAACCGGTGCCTTTTTACCTTTTTCGTCTAGTGGTAATACGGTTATTTGGGTTTGGGGGTGGAGGATTGGAGGAAGACTTGTACATGCAAAACACTATTCTAAGTGTTTTGCTTTTTAGGGTATGAAGTGATGAGTGGGATGGAGCTACATTTGTTGCCCCTACTTATAGCAAAAACAAAAATTAAAAAGATAGAGCTACTAATGCCCTAAAATATTTTGGGTAAGTTGGGTATTTTAGGTTTTTCATATAGTTCCTTTTTTGGGTGTAAAAGTTTAAAATAGCTAGGAATGGTAAGAACACGGAGTTGGGGATAGTAACTTCTACTAAATACAAGACTATATTATGGGTTATTTAAAAAATCTATAAAACTTATAAATGGTGAAATTGTTATTAAGATATACTTTGGAGTATATTACATGATAATGTATATTTGTAATCATTAATTATTTTTAGTGGTTTCCATATTTGGATAAAAAATAATTACATGAAATACGGTTAGTATAAGGAACTAGTTTGGTCAATCCATGCATGTGTTACCTAAGCAAAATACACAATATCCAAACGGAAGCTAGTCAAACAATGTTACATTTTGGTGAAAGGGTATTAGTGAAATCTTATTTTGAAATAATTAGTGAGTACGTAGTTTGGAATTGTAAATGCAAAAAAAAACTATATATTAGAAGGTACTAACAACAACTATAGCCATGGTGCTCACCTGGTTATCGCTAATCTTAAATTAATATATTAATGGTAATTGTTGCTAAAAACGTAAGCTATTAAGCAAAATAAGTGCTAAAGTCATTTTAGGGATGATTAGCTTAGAATATCCCTTTTAAATAGGGTTTGCAAAAGGGGTTTATGGATACGCTTATTTATAAGCCCATAGTTGTTTGGTTGTAGCAGTTCAATTTTGATTTAGGCTTAGAACTAAGCAAAGCCAAATACAATCCGATGTGAATAAAATTGACCTTTTTAGCTGTTAGATTTTTTGTGAATTTAAAAAAGGATGTCACACTTAAAAGGTCAACACTTTATTTACAAATACACTTACGAGTAATATATATCCTAGGGTTCATGTTTGATATGGGTGATAGTTTGTTTTGAGGTTATGATGTTGGTGAGTGATAGCTAACATATTAGCAGCACAAGATCATGTGTGTTATTTTGTATTTTAACAAAAAGCATATTAGTTACAATTGAGCTTCTCATATAATCTACCATAAAATGAAATTGGTACAAGGGCAATATGGTCTTACAAATCAAGCAAACAAATTTGCAAACCCTTGAATAATCCCAATCCCTTGAATAATGCTAATGAATGTAGTGGTAAATACTCCTGACATTTGGCTATGGCGGAGTAGCAGACATGGTGGGTGATAACTTGACCAAATAAGCAAATATGACTTTAATTTGCTCATCAATTTAATAAATGTTTTTAAAAGTAAACCTCATCTATTTATTATGCACATGCATCATGCATATACTTTTATGATCACATAACATAACAAAAAATGTAACTCAACACAAGAAGTTGTATTACTTGCTTGCAATTATGTGAAGTACTTTTATCAATGTTATATATACAACGGTATAACTAGCCATCTTATGTATTCATTTATATTTTATTAAAGGGATAGTATTGGAGGCCTCAAAAACATATATGATAATCTTTCGTATATTTAACATAAGTATCTTAAATTATTATGCAATATGTGACACCCCACAAGGAGGTAGCAAAATAAAAAAAAAGTGTGCAATATTTAAGAAGATCTATATTCCTTAGAAGTGTGATTAAAAAAGTGAATAAAACTATTATAAATGAAGACACTATACATATAATTATAATCGCCAAAAATAAATAATATAAATGCATTATATATAGCCGAGACAAAGGGTTACGTCATTATGATAATAAGTAATTGATATTTTATACCAAATTATTAAACCCCTATACAAATTAAGAAATCAAAATACCTATTTAAAGCCCATACCATATAGTAAATTATGTGATTTTATGGTAAATGGTTAAAGAGTTCCGCTTATATAGTAGTAGATGTTACGTTGTAGCGTGGCCAATTTTATAGCCAATTTTGAACAAATCGAGAGGCCGTTCGATTTTTGGATGGATGATCTATCCTGAATTAAATATCATCCTTTACTTACAATTGTAAGCAAACAAAACAGTAAGGCAGCGTTGAACAAATTATGTCTACAATAATCTATACCATCATAGTTATATTAGTATACCCATAATTAACCAGTATGCTAAAAAACAAGATAATAACAATGATCCTAGAGCATACAACCTTACATTGTGACCTTAAAAACAATAAGGGCAAGATAGTCATACAAATATAGCTTACAAACCCTTGAATTCACCAACCACCCAATGAATACACTTGCAAAATACCTGATATTTGGCTGTTGCAAACTTTGTGTCATACTGCTTCTATGAGTTATTTGAAAAGACAAAATTTATTGTGCGCATTCATTTTTTCAGAATTCCATGACAGAGCACAAATTTTGTTCAACTCTAGTTAGTATTTTTTGATAGAATATGCGAAAGACCAAATACATAAAGATGTAATAAGTATGACTTATAAGATAACTATTGTATTAAATTAGCCTTAATTAAGTATTTAAGCTTCCATTACTCGACTATAGTATTAATTATTTATTAATCATTCGCAAATAATAAGCGACATACCATAATATAGATATTAATTAAGAACATGATGTAAATGACTTGAGTTGTGGAAGGACTAATATAACGATATGTGTGAATATGGATATAACTCTAGTACGGAGTATTAAAAATCGTACTCAATTGTGTAATCTTTCACAACTACAATATCATATTAATCAATTAATAATTATTTCCAAATAATAAGTAACACAATACAAATATCCTTTTTAGGGTAGATATTAAGAAGACGTAATCGGCATGAGCTGTAAGGGCCCAAAGTTAAAACTTATCGTGTATCGCGAGCGGTTAATTATATGACATACAATTGGTTTATATGTATTTAACTACGCATAATATATGTTTAAGAAATTAATTCCTTCTACAAGCATTTAGTATTAAATGCATAATCTTATCATTATACCTTGTGTACATTGATTAAGTTAGCCAATTGACATCCTACTCTTTAGCATCTACTTTCACCAAAAAAAATGAATGTTGAAACTTTGATGATAATGCTTATTAGTTTTCAGAAAACAACCAACTACTTTCACCTTTATCACTAAATGTAAACTCTGACGCCATTACAACTATGAGTGAACTAGAGGTTTTAAGCTTGATGATGATGATCACACCGAAATAAGTGGAGTGAAGGTGTGAAGCTTGGTTTGCCACAAATCCCGCAAGTTGACAATGAATGCTGAAGAGTCACTTCAATTTATTTTTCCTAAGAGTGACATTCAATAATATGACATCATGCATCCTAATAGTGAAGTTGACTTATGTCCTCTACATCTCCAAAAATGCAAGTATTGAACAATACCAAAAAAATAAAATTGGCTATTTTTATCATTAACCAATGCATATACTTGAATAAACTTGTGTTTTACTACCTATTTTAAAATTTACGACACATAATTCAAGAAAAAAGTTCAAGGAAATCTCATTAATAAAATTGAAAATATGTATATTACAAGTTTATGCTTGTAGTATTATGAAACGTATTTTTTTTTATCATTTCTTACTCAATTCACTCAACAATAGGTACTTCCAAATTAGGCTTTTGTGAATGGATAAATTTATTTAAAACGAAATTTGATTAATTGAACCTTTGCATGTATAATTACCATACACATGTCTAGCACTAACTCGTCTCAATAAGGTCTCGTGACCAACTCATTCTATATTTTAGTAGTGTATAATTTACAATCGAAATGGCCATGTGTGAAATAGTTTCACACTTAATAAGTGTATAAGTATATTATCGATAAAGTACGTGTACATATCAAATAATAAATATAAAATAAATGACACAATATTACTTGAAAAAAAATTAATTAATTTAGGCCTACTAATCAAAATTAAAAGGATCATAAGCTTACCAAATGTATCGTGAGTTACTCGGATGGATTCGAAACTTAAACCACAAGATGGTTTTATTGAGGTAGAACTTGTGCGTGCACGGGTTGACAACATGTACACAGCTTTTGAATCAATTATATCACCCTTTATCTCGTTAATAACTTGTTCGATTACCACCCCGTAACTTAGACAATAACGAACACATACATCAACATAGGGTTTCATCCCATTTTTCCAACATATGGTTGTAATAACATGACAACTATTGATTTGGTGAATGAAAATGTTGAGATCTAAGTTATAAATCAAAACTACCAAGCTAATAAGATTATTTTAAAGGAACAACTATCTCTTTGTTTTTTTTTATTTGTAAACTATACTCCATTTAGATAGTAAAACTAGTATGTCCTAAGTTTAAAAAATATAGTGTATGCAATTAAAAAAATTAAAATTAACATAGGTCTGCATACGAAACACGTATCAAGTATTTTGAGTGTTCACTAAAACTTTTATAACAATATTACATTTGTAAATTTATGTAGATAATATCACAAGAGAGTGGTTATCCTGCACAATGAAA